TGTGTGTGTGTGTGTGTGTGTGTGCTGGTATTACCTACCTCAAATTTGTATTCCTTGTCTATTCTGGTCCGAGAGATGCCCCTGAGCACAATCCCCTCTATATGCACCGCTGCAAAGACAACAACAGAAATCCTTAATGAACTATGAGGAGTTTGTGATCTTACTGGGATTAGGCATCTACTGACAAACACTGGTGTGTGTCGACTGAAAGCCTATTTAAATATTTAGGCCCATACAATGATCTGTGATATTATAGTACATGCTATGAATTAATCAGTACTTTCCACTGTGTATGTCCACCTACAGCCCTAACCTGGAAACCACACCAATCATATTCACTTTTGTGGATTGGTCTGGCCGTCCTCCCTATCAGATCATTTCCTTTCATACTGAAACTGGTCAGGCCAATCAAAAACATTATACGGTAACCAAAAAAACAGCCCCTTATAACATGAGGCTGGTTTCTGACAAGAGCAGTGCTGCTCAATTATTTTTATAAACAACCAAGATTGCTGCTGCTGCTGCTGGGGAGAGGTCTGTTGAATGTGCTATACCACAGTATTAATTGAACTGGAATAATCATGATGTGAGAAGCACAAACAGCTGCAGGTAAGTGTTTCCAGACATTTGTCTGTTCCTCTGTGCTGCATCACACATTTCATTGCTCTTTTCTATTCAGAGGCATTTTGGACGGAGATCTTTGAGCTGGGAGGTTTCAGACCCATTCACAAATGTTAATGTGTCTAGCATCACCAGATATTTAGAGAAAAGCATGAAGGGAAACACAGAGAACATTACAGGCCCAAAATAAATAAGATTATTGTAATCTTACAATAGTTAGAAATTCCCATGCTTCATTAATCTGAGTTATTTGACCCTTGTTCAAAAAAAATATTTTGGTAGATAAAATCAAGGCGGCGGAAGAAACTGGAAGCACAACTTAAGTTCCGTGTTACACTTGTGTCAGGTTAGTAATTATTGTTATATATGCACTGTTTCTATTCACCTTCTCTTTGTGCCACCCAGCGGCTGGAGCGTCGGCTCTGACACGGAGGATGTGAAGCAGTACACTCTCCCAAACCCAGTGCTGGGGGGGGCAGGAAATCCACTTTCTGACCTTTCAGCTCCTAGAAACAAACAAACAAAAAGAAAGTTAGTGACTGCGTCACACTGGTTTGTTCTCATTGTCCTGCTGTATTTTGAGCTTATAACCTGTAGTTTTCTTTCACTGTGAATAGTTTCATGTAAATGTGAAACTACAGGGTTATGTAGTTACTCATGAAACACACTCACAAAGGCCTCATACCTGTGGTAATTCATTCACGTTCAGGTTATGTAGTTTGATGATTAAATAACAGGTCAGTGCCTCCGAAATCATGTTAGAGAGAAACAGTAGAGTCATCACTAGTTTGTCCTTTATGGAAATGAGAAAATAGAACTTTTATCTGATATCTTCTATTGTACATTATTCAGATTCACCAAAAGCTCTGGTGTAAACACTGACTAAAACCTAAATTTAAACCCCATAACTTCAGCTAAATATATATAGTAGCTATGAATTAAATGTTGATTGGCTTAAGACAGTGAACAACATGTGTGCAATAAAAATACCATAGAAAAATATGCAATGCAATAATCACTGTGAATCTTTGTATCAGGTATCTTTGCATATTGTTTACATTTTTCTTTATATATATACACACACACACACACACACACACATATGTGCTGATATATATATACATACATATGTATATTCTTATTTTATTCTATATTTTTATTTGTCTCTATCCTGATGCCCTTCTGCTGCTGTAATGTTGAAATGTCCCCAGTGTGGGATGAATAAAGTCGATCTTATCTTATCTTAAGTGATAACAGCCGAGCTCCAAACTAGCCAAACTAAAGCAAAATAGTCCAACAATCAAAAAGGGAGGGATCAGACATTATGTCAGCACAAGGACCACACACCAGTTAGCTGGGTTTGTTTCTAACCGATCTCTCACTCACTGCCCCTCTCCCCCTTCTGTGTTTTAAAAAAAAAAAAAAAAATCAGACAGTGCCACAGTCCAGACACAGTGCAGTCCTCTAAAAATGGAAAGGGTTATTTTATTAAGAGGCGAGCATCCTCACCAGGCCCGGACCTGACTCATGATAAGGATGTCAACCTCACAGAGTCATCTAGAACAGACAGCCTCGCAGACTTCATTAAAGGTACGCTCGCTGTGTTAAAGCAGCGCTCTACTGGTTTAGCACTGCACTGTAACACTGATGCACTAACTAAGAAAAAAAACATTACATTTGATACACCCTTGTTTATTTTAGCACCTGCACCCACCCTCACAGTTTAGTGTGTTATGTTAGTAGTGCTAATGTAGCATAGAGCCTCAGGCAGAGATGAGGAGCAGGATACAGAGGTCTGGTATGCTCACTTCTTCTATTTTTACCATGTCTTCAGCCACAACCCACCCTGACACGAGTGAAATCGCTTCAGGCAATTTAGGCAGCACCCTCTGGAGGAGCAACAAACTTAAAACATATGCGGTAGTTTGAAACAAACTCTGATGAGTAAAAAAGGTGAAGCTCCTCTTTTATTCGCACACTTAACAAAAATGGTTAAAGTAGTCTGTCTGGTACCAAAACTGACATTTCTGGTTATATTTAAACATGGCATCATGTGTGGTGCTGCCACACACAAGGATAAACTGCTTCTGACACCTGATCAGTGGGCATCAAGCATTAATTATTTATCAGGCAGAAACAACAATCTCTTATTGACATTTAATTGTTTTTAATCATTGCTTTTTTTCTGTGAGACCTCTGATAGACTTATTGAAAATAGACTGAAAATTCATTTCCAGTCATTGATTAGCTGACAAGAGCATCCCTAATGTAAACTGCCACATGCACGTGTGAGATGAGACAGCAAGACATTCACACAAATTAAGGTTCATTTACAGTGGTCGACCCACAAGGCTGATGGGAAACTCTGTCTGACGTGACTTCAGATTAGGGATTTTTCCTTTAATACGTATATACACAGTCATGTGAAGAAAACAAAGTACAGCCCATGGAAATTTACTTTCTTTTAAGGTTTGCGAAAAAAATGAAACCGCTCTTTCGTGCAAAGTTCCATCAGATGTGTGATCCATGAGGGGATTCTTGCCTATTTTTACAGGATTCAAATCTTGGTTTGTGTTGGGATGAGTTTCAGTTCCTAGGAAGCTGTAAATACTCTGCGCCAAATACATCTCCTACAACTCTAACTGTGATGCATCTGTCCAGAGCGTATTATTCCATAAGGCTGGGTCTTCACAGATATGTTCACTGGCACACTTTAGTCATTGTCTAATATTTTTCTTGGACAGAAATGTTTTTTTTTCCAGGGGCCTCCCATACAGGTCAATTTTGTTGTCAAATTAGATGCATGTACTTTAACACTAACAGTTACAAGAGTTAGATGAAGACCCTGTGATTAAAGTTGTGGTTCTTGGAGTTTTTTCTTTGCATCTAATTACCTGCTTTTATGGCTGAATTAACCAGGGTGGCCAGTACTGGACAAACTGGCAGTTTTTGTTTTTTAAATCTATGCCAGTTATCATTACAGTGGAATGATTTAAATTTCAAATAGTCTGAAGATCTCTTTTACTTCTTTAGCCAGACTCACAGGCAACAACAGTTTTTTCGTTTAAACCCAGGAGAGCTTTTCAGATCTTGATGATGACACCACACACTTCGAGAGCAAAGAGAACACCTGGGTCTAGATGTCAGAGGAATAAGACACGCTCCACCTGCCCTCCCTGAAGAGATGGTAATCACTGGTACCTAATCTGAGGTGTTAAATGTAAATAATTTGTATTCTTTTATTATATTTGTTCTAGAACCTGTATATAAAGGCTCTAAATCAAAAAGGATAAAACGGATACTTGTTTAGATATATTGAGAAAGACAATAAATCCATAGGGAGAAATTGTTTTTTCACATGACTGTACGCTTCAAAAATGCTGAAACAATTCATCAATCAACAGAGCTTTACCATTATTATTAGACAGTCTTTGGGAAGAAACCCTGAGCTCCACTGACTCAACAAGACACCATTGCCTAAAAGACATATACAGTAACTTTGTGTTTTCCACAGCCTGGAGGGTTCCATTTCAAGCAAGCAAGACAGTGGTTCTTTCCCCTGTTTAATCCCCCGAGCCCGGGGGGAGGAACAGTTTAAATTAGTTTGGAACCAGATGGAATAAAAACTAGCTGACTGCTGACCGTTGTCGATAATGGTCCATGACTCAAAGGAATGCAGAGGTTGACTGATGGAGACAGAGAGAAATATTGCATAGACACTGCACCCCCCCCCCCCCATCAATAATTTTTAAAATATCAACTATATGTAAAGCTGTTCCATCTCTCTCTTCCTCTCATTCCTTTTCTCTCAAACCAACCACTCGAGGCAGGAAGCCGCCCACCCTCAGTCCACTTCTGTCTGAGGTATATTTTTCTCTCCACTGTCAACAGGTGCTTGTTCATGGTGGGAACTGTTTTCTTTATATTGTAAGATCTTCACCTTATTCTGAGAAATGCCTTGAGGTAATGTATGTTATGACAAAGTGCAATGTAAATAAAACTGAACTGTATTGAATCAGGTGAGGTGAAGTGTTTGCTCATTACACACCATAGGGATGAGCGCCCCTGTTATATAAATAAAGTCGCACATGTGCTCCAGGGCTCAGGCAGGTCTTTCAGTATGTGCTCTGATTTTTGGTTTCATTGAAGGCTCTAATGGTGCCCGGCAGTTTAAGTGACAAAATGGTTGCTGTGTAAAATGCAGGCAAAAGCTCTGATCATTTTGGCAATAAACATTTTTAACCTCCGCCGTGGAGATCGTGTTTTCATCCCTGTCCGCTTTGTTGGTTGGTTGGTTGGTTTGTAAGACAGACAATACAAAAACCTCTTCACAGTGTACCACAAAACTTGGTGGAAGGATGTGGTATGTGTCATGGAAGGACCCACTAAATCTTAGTGTGGTGTTTTATCACACTGCTGAAGAGGGACGTTTTCATTGATTTCCCAGAAAACATGAAATGGTTCTTGATTAAAATGAAACAAACATATTTAGGGGGTTTAATTCTGAGTGTGTGCAACGTGGTGCAGATTGATTGGATTTAAGAGGACAATCGGCCTCGGTTGGTCTGATCTACTTTGTGCCATGCTGGTTACCATTAAAATACAAGTACTATAAGGATCACACCAATATACCAAACTGGAAACCAGCTAAGTTATGTGACATGACTTCTCCTGCAGACACGGTGAGAAAGATGAGCTGCTGTCCTGTTTGGTGGAAGTGAAAACCTATAGACACCCGGTGTCATGTTCAAAAGCTACAAGTGAAACAGTACCACGTCAAACACCCACTGTGGCTCAGTTACATCACAGATCAGCTGTGGAGGAGCAATCTGGAGAAACTGGATAACGAATGATCACTACAGCAATAATATTAATGACAGTGCTCTGCTTCCAGGAGGCTGGTTACTGACTTTAACTACAGGGGGGTTAACAAAGGTAACAGCAGCAAGTATTGATCCACAACCCAGGCAAATAGGAAGCTACATAATGGCTCCGAGGCAACGTAGCTATATCCCATGTATTTGAACATGGCTGGAGTCAGTGGTTGGAACCACAGAGCTACCACCAGCTTAGATGTTGGCTAAATCAGTTAGCGTGCACCACAGCTCATGCTAATCAAGACCTTTCCGAAGTACTTAGCATTAGCTATTATCATCTGATTAGCTATACGTGTGGAATTTGCTTATAATCCCCCCTAGCCAGCTATGCTACAGAGGGACTCGAGCAGAAGTTAAAACGTGTTAAGCTAGCTCAGCGTTGCAAACGACAGGCTTGTGTAAGTGTTGGTGAAGTTACCGTTGTCTGGGCGTTGATTCTCAGTTGACTCTGGCGTCTCTCCTCTATAGCCAGCTCGATTTTGTCCAGCTGGCCCCGGACGGTCTCCCGCTGGTGGAAATGGAAAGCTGGGTGCAGAGAGGCCATGGTGAAGAGCAGCGCCAACTGCTCCAGAGGTCCCGCCGCCGTCTCGTTGGCGGAGAAGCCGCAGGTCTGCTCCGAGCGCCCGTACACTCCCCCGTCCTGACACGGCGGGTGGACCGGGCGGTGGTGGTGGTGGTGAGGACCCCTGAACGGAAGATGGGAGTAGTCATAGTTTTTGTAGAACAGGGCCGGGTCTACATGGCTCAGAATCCCGAAGAGTATTCCAGCACATTCCCTGCTGTCGGACCCGAGGAGGGACAGGCAGACCAGGAGTTTGGAGCGGACCACCGGGTCAATCACGTCCGTCAAAACGCCCAGATCGCCCGGACTGTTAGCCCGGAACTCGAAGTCCCGTAAAACATGATAATCTTTCCTGGCGAGGTCCTCCAGATAAGATCCCAAAAAACGGAGCTCCAGGGGTTGGCACATATGTAGGAGCCCGCACATGAACTCGACGCGCTTGGCCGGGTTTAAATGCAGGCCGAACCACTCGTAGACGGTCTCCTTGTCCAGCTGGGACGGAGACCCGTGAGCTCCCGGCGACTCCTCCAGCCCGAAGGACGCCGAGGAGGGAGATGCCGCCCCGGGGAAATGTTGGTGCGCCGACCGATCCAATGAGTCGTCCTCGACCGCCTCGTCCTCTCCTTCCTCGGCCGTTTTCATCGGTAGTTTCATTTTCAGCATTATCAGCGGCGCAGGGGGAGCTTTACAGAGTAAACAACAGATCAATCTTCATTATTCACAACTCACACGGGGTGGTGACGCTGGAGAGAGGCGCGGACAGGCGGAGGTTTGCGGGGTTTTCACGGGTTATTGAACATCTGACGCGGCGTCGGTGCTGGACCTGCTCTCCCCGATCACTCGTTCTTCTTCTACTCCTCATTTCCGGCGGAGTGGCTATGCGCGGTTAGCGCTCTACCGCCACCGCGTGGCTGTTGGTGGAGTTTCTGGAAACCCGGAGTAGGCTTTTTTTATCAATTAAACCAATTAAGATGCAGGATGCAAATGTCCGCGTCTTTGATTGTTGGTGGATCCTGATCGTGGAATATGATTACAACAAGACTTCTTGACCTACAATGCACACACCCTACCATTACTGACTCCCTCCCATACTTCTTGATTCTTGTTCTGATTTCTAAAATCAGTTAGATGCTGCTGTAACAAGAAGAGCTGCTAACATTTCCACTGTTTTAATGTTGGTGACAATGTTGAACATTGACAATAAAGGATTCTGATTCTGAATAACTCCTCAATTCATTTCTCATTGCTGCTCCCTTCATCTCTATCAGACTTTTCATATGTACAAATACTTGAAACAGCGACACACTTTTCCATTATGTTACAAATTGTTTCTTCCAATCAGTTTTGTAAATACTGTTATTTCGCTGATGTTGTACAGTTACACGCGGCATCTATTGCACTTCCGTCTGTCCTGGGAGAGGGATCCCTCACATGTCTCTCTCTGAGGTTTCTGATTTTTTCCCCCTGTTAATAGGGTATTTTTGTATTTTTTCCTTACTTTTGTTCAGGTTTAGGATAGAGGATGCTGCACCTTGTTAAAGCCCTATAAGACAAACTGTGATTTGTGAATATGGGCCATACAATCAAATTTGATGGATTGTTTATTTGATACAAAGACAGATAACTGGTGACTGCTTTTGAAGGCTATTTTTTTCTGACATTTAACAATGCAGTGACTTTTACAAGATGAAACTATGTGTCCCAAACCAGAAACCCGTGTCTTATCCCTGGACTATATTGAAAACCATCCAATGACACGCCTCCATCATTTCCACTTCATTCTGCTCTTGGACGTACGGTAAATAGAATGGAAGAGAAAGTCATTTCAGTCTTGACTCAAGGAACAACATAACTCTGAAATGCCAAGACACACAGAAAGACAGAGAGAGAGAGACCGGTGCTATTCAAATAAAATATGATTGATTGATTTAAAGAGGGAATGAAGATTAATATAATTCTAGAAATCTGTTTTGTCTACTGTACTTCAGCCTTGTGGTCAGTAAATAACTCACTATGCTTCTTCTGTAGTCACTGATATCACATTATTTAAACATTTGCACAATGAACTGTTTATTATATGCAGGTATATTCACCTTGACCTCCAATCACTTTCACATAAATGTCTTTTTTCTTTTTTGTATATGATTTTTTAAATATTTTCCTCTCTTAGCTCAGTGTTTTAGTCTTTTTCTATCCCAGATGCACAGATTTATTTGTGTTGCATGGTTCCTCGGCTGCTGTGAACTTACTGACCCTAACAGCATTGTGTAGACCGTTAACCCAATTCCTCTGGGTTCTTCCTGTATGTACACTACACACACACAGCAGTTTACACATGGCAGCTTTGTCATATGCCACGACACACAGGAAACCTGGGGCCATGCTGAAGTTGTTCCAGCATGGCCCCAGGTTTCCTGTGTCAGTTGGACATGGATAATATAATTGAACACAGGGTACTGTGTTCGGAAGCGCATTATATGGGTTGATTATAAATGAAAGCAATATAGACTGATACAAGTTTTAAAACTCGATTTTGACTCATGCACTTTCTATGACATGTCATTAATGCAGGACCTGCCATAGGTCATATCATACTTAAAGGTTCAGTGTGTAGAATGTGGTGAATTTGAACATTACAGCTGAATACCCCTCTCCTCACCCTCCCCTTCCAAACATGAAAAATACCTGTGGTAGCCTTCAACAACTGTGAAAAACATGGCAGCCTCTGTAGATAAATATATAGGGCTCATTCTAGGGTAAAGAGACAACAATTTATACAATTAGATGAAACACACCAGTGAAAACATCACAAGGATTATTTTATATTCAATTTCTGCCAATATTTCCCTTTCACCGAAATCTTACACACTGGACCTTTAAGCAAATTGCCTCACAAATTTGCAGCTGGCAGTTATGATGTGGAGTAACTGAAATGCAACAAGCAGAAATTATATCAAGAAGAAAGAATAACTCAGAGAGGTCTTATTCTGCATCTTCAGGCCGACAGCAGCAGAGTGTTTTGCAGAACCAGAGCAACCTGCAGAGCCTGAGTTAAAACAGTCCAAACTTCTGGTGGCCTCCGGATTTATAACCTCAACATCTGGGGTTGATGCAATTACTGTGGCTCCAGCAGGAGGAGTCAGAGGAAAAGGTGGAGATGTTTTCACAGCAGAGTCTGAGGTTTCTGAGGTAGGTGCAGGCTGCTTGGCTGCTTTAACCTGGCACAGTGACAAATAATCCTGGATGGCAGTGATGGCAGGTTCATTAGCACAGAGCACACATGGTGGAGCCGGTGCTCCTGGAGAGTCTGTTTCCCCGATTGACTTTTCGACCACATCGTAACCATCACAGACAGATGTAGTGACGACATCAGCAGAGTCAGAGGAGGTGGGGAAGCTGGAGACGGAACAGGCAGGGGGCAGGGTGTAAACCGCTGCTGCTTTTGGGCTGGACGCGGAGGCCGGACTCCAGTGTTAGCAGGAGGTTCAGCAGTGGCAGCCATGGGAGTTGGAGCTCTGGATCCTTCTGCGTCCTCCTCTTTGAGTGGGAATGGCCTTTGCACAATATAAACATTTTTGGGGCTTGACTTTGCAGGAACGTACATGTCACTGAAGTTGAGTTTTTTGAATAGCTACTATTCACACAAAATTTGCACAATAAATAAAAAATGGCAGATTGGGCTATGGCTCAAACAAAACTTATCTTGGCTTAAAAGCCTGTCTCCTGAATTTTAAGCCAATGAAATATACTAACCAAGGCTCTGGCCCTAAATATTAAAATCCTGTGTTACCAGCAGGTAACATTTTACTGAAAGCTTGATTTGAAAATTAAGTATCAGCATTAAAAAATAATTGCAGAGTAGAAGTAAAAGTGCTCAGATGCCGAATGGCCCATTTGAGAGTTATGTATCCATCACGTGTTCATCATGTGTCCATCACTTTAATATTGCAGCTGGTAAAGTTAATAATGTAAATTGTTTCTCTTGGACCAATAAAAACAATTTAATGATTTACTAAGATGATAGGATAGGAGATATAAATGAAAGGGGGAGCGAGAGCTGGGAAGTTACCTCAAAATATGTTCACTTATAATTATACAATTTGCTGGTTTTGATCTATTGACTCTCTGAATTTGCAAAATAACTAACAACTAAAATTTCCAACAAATGAAGTGCAGTAAAAGATAACAATTTTTCTTTCTAAATTGAAAAGTGTGTAAATCAAGTAAAATAACTTGGTACTTAACTGTTTTGCACCACTGGGTTCTCAGGAAGATAATGAATAGATTTTATTTGGTTTTTCATTGACTCTCATTGAGGCAATACCACCCCCTGATGGAAAAACGTGACAATTACAAGTAGACAGACGGCAGAGTGGTTAAATGAGGCTGTTCTGAGAATTCCTCTGTTTTTAAAGTTGTGTGAGTCTGTAAAAGTTGCTTCTTTCCTCTTTTTCTCACTAGATTTTCTTCATTGTATTAACAAACTTGAGGTCAGGAGGTCAGATACACAGGAGACAACCAGACTGCTGAAATGAATCCTCCTGATTCGACCCTGTGAGAAGCAAATGCACAGTAGTGGATTTCAAACACAACAAAATACACTGAATCTGTTTTTCAGCCCCTTCAGATATGAGATCACAGAAGTCATTTGCTAGTTTGGTTTTCATTAATTTTTATGATTCTGTCTGGAGCTGTAACCCCGCCTAGTAAAAAACAAAAGAGCAGATTTTATAACTCTGTGTGCCTGAGAAATTTTTCCAAAGGTTTTAATCTTTCCTTTTCATCCAGTGTTTTTTTTTAAATATAATCCAGTGCTTTCTTGAATAAATAGGACAAGCCTTGTGCATGAGATCATAGAGTTGAAAATAAAATGTTGCATTGGATCTGCATCATTTTCCACCACATATTTTTCCCCTTAAAGATCCAGTGTGTAAGATTTAGGTGAAAGGGATCTATTGGCAGACATTTAATGTAGAATAATCCGTAAATTATGTTTTCACTAGTTCGTTTCATCTAATCGGGCAAACTAAACATCTTTTGAGTTTTTATGAGATTTGAAGGCTACCACAGGTTCTTCTTCATGTTTGGAAGGAGAAGGTGAGGTGAGGGGTGTTCAGCTGCAACATGCAATTTCAACAAAAGATATCACAAAATTCTACACACTGTGCCTTTCAATAAAAATTGGTTCAGTATTCTGGAGGAACTTTTCAGACACAGCTCACAACCTTCAGTGACATTCTGAAATGGTTGAATGTCAGCCCGCGTACAGTGTAGTGTAGGTTTTTAATGTTTAGATGCAAAATAAAGGTGCCTCCCTTCCCTGCTCTCTACGTAACGCAGGTATATTCAGAGTAATTGTGCATGTGCATGAATAGGTGAAAACAATACTGTCATGCACCCAGAACTGAATCATATCGTTGCAGTAACCAGAGACTTGGAGCTCATCCTAGTCCCCTGTGCCGTCCAGCCTCTTGTGGTCTGCCTGGAGAGGAAGCAAATCCACATATTTGAACTTTTAATTTTAGAACCGTGTTTTTTTTGCTGTTATTTTTTTTTTCATTTTTTTATTGTATTTTCTCAGCTTGGACAGAACGGGCAACTGCAGAGCTTTTAACCAGCAGCTGGGAAGTGTAGCAACACTGATCAGAGGGGGTCTCTGAGAACATGCTCCCCGTGTGTCTCCAACAGGGGGCGATAGCAGTTCAGGCTTCTTGTCCTCGTAGAAGCACAAGGATAAGATCAGTGAGGTCTGAGTGTGTCTGTGTTGAGATGCCAATTCAATTTGTGCTTTTAAAGCCTTTTTATGCAGGAAGCGTTTTATGCATATATCCACATATTCACAAAAGGAGAATCTCTGAACAACCTTTGGATGATAATGTGCTGAACAGCCCCCCTGGAGAAGCAATACAATCAGGTACTCACAGGAAAAGAGACCATAGATTTTGATAGAGCATTGCTCAATGCCCTCTTTCAGTATCTTTAGTTTGATTGTCGATGGTATTTCATAAGCCTGTTATAAACAATACATTATTTTGATCTTCAAAGCTGCTTTAATCTGTTTTGGGGGCTGTTGATAGGATTAGGCTGTATTCTATATTCTA